ACCTACAGGGTGTGTCAAAAGTAGAGGAAAAAATTGTTCTCTTCCCCTCCGTATATCCGGCGAGTACTAAATTACTTTTAATGTCCGAATAATAATCTTAAAACTAAGTATTTTATCTTAAAGTTGCTAAAAACTTCAAATAAATAAGCCTCCGCAATTGAAAGTTAGAGCATTTTTATATAAATCATTATTTTGAATGGATCAAATTTTAGGTCTGTGAATGTATTTTACTACAAACATTTTTAACTTCAAATTGTTACTTTTGAGTTAAACAAAAAAGTACATTTCTGAATTAGTTAAGTTCGTTTCCATATTTAAAGAGACCAGAAAAAACTAAAATTAGTCATGTTTTTGTACAATCATTTTACAGCTAAAATATAACGTTTAAATTGTTATTTTTGAGCATTTTGGAGATAAAAAATAAAACTAAAGGGGTTTTTAAGTAACTTCAATACGTTATAATGAGGATAATTTAATTCCATCTGAATTTTTAAAAGCCATATATTATGTTGGTACTTTTATATATCTGTGCCTATCAGTACCTACCAAAAGCAATGCTTTGAATCAATTTTGCCTAGATTATTTAAAAAGTAATGATTATATTTGGTCATAAATATGGACTTGTAAGTACATTTTATTGTAGTGTACACGCATAACATGTAACTTTTAAAAATGTGCTTAGTTTAAAAATAATATAAAAACAGTTAATTTTAGTAATATAATAAAATCATCTAGTAAAAATTAATAGCATATAATTATTTTTTTTGTGCTTTTTCCAAATATGGATACAAATTTAACGACTTGTAGTGTATTCTTATAAGGATAGACAAATTTTTAAATTTTTTGAAAAGATGGAACTGCATTTTGTTTCTTATTAATACCTTAATAGATTATGGTAAGTTGTAGAGAATACATGGGCCAAATTTTAATAACATGTAAGGGTGGTTGGTAAGTTATGAAACAAGAAATAAATTGGCAAAGTTAATAAAACTACCTGTATCTCGGTTATAAATGACGAAAGAACCATTAAGTAAAGTTATTTGGAATAATATCAGTAGCACAAAAAACTAAGTATTAAAAAAAGAGTGAAGTAAAACTTCTTATATTAATTCACTCTAAAAATAAAAAAAGACAAATAAAATCCGCGTACATCAATATTTATCGCTACTTGAACATACAATTAAGGTTATAACTCTAAACAGCAAGGCACCGACGATGCACGAACGACGATCGTTTGCAGTCGAAATTAGAGTTCAAGTGGAGGACTAGGCTGTTAAGGTGTTAGTAAATCGAAATTTGTCGTTTTTATGAATTAGCTAATCATATTTTTTATGTTAGGACGAATCGTAAGGAGTGTTAATTATTTATTTTAATCTGTTATTAATTTACTTAAATTTATTCAAATTTATTCAAATTTATTTAAATTTATTTTAATTTATTTTAATTTATTTCAATTTATTTTAATTTATTTTAATTTATTTTAATTTATTTTAATTTATTTTAATTTATTTTAATTTATTTTAATTTATTTTAATTTATTTTAATTTATTTTAATTTATTTTAATTTATTTTAATTTATTTTAATTTATTTTAATTTATTTTAATTTATTTTAATTTATTTTAATTTATTTTAATTTATTTTAATTTATTTTAATTTATTTTAATTTATTTTAATTTATTTTAATTTATTTTAATTTATTTTAATTTATTTTAATTTATTTTAATTTATTTTAATTTATTTTAATTTATTTTAATTTATTTTAATTTATTTTAATTTATTTTAATTTATTTTAATTTATTTTAATTTATTTTAATTTATTTTAATTTATTTTAATTTATTTTAATTTATTTTAATTTATTTTAATTTATTTTAATTTATTTTAATTTATTTTAATTTATTTTAATTTATTTTAATTTATTTTAATTTATTTTAATTTATTTTAATTTATTTTAATTTATTTTAATTTATTTTAATTTATTTTAATTTATTTTAATTTATTTTAATTTATTTTAATTTATTTTAATTTATTTTAATTTATTTTAATTTATTTTAATTTATTTTAATTTATTTTAATTTATTTTAATTTATTTTAATTTATTTTAATTTTAAATTATTTTAATCTATTATAATTTATTTTAATTTATTTAAATTTATTTAAATTTATTTAAATTTATTTAAATTTATTTAAATTTATTTAAATTTATTTAAATTTATTTAAATTTATTTAAATTTATTTAAATTTATTTAAATTTATTTAAATTTATTTAAATTTATTTAAATTTATTTAAATTTATTTAAATTTATTTAAATTTATTTAAATTTATTTAAATTTATTTAAATTTATTTAATTTATTTAAATTTATTTAAATTTATTTAAATTTATTTAAATTTATTTAAATTTTTTTATTTAATTTATTTTAATTTATTATAATTTATTTTATTTTTTTTTAATTATTTTATTTTAATTTAATTTCATTTAATTTATTTTAATATAAATTACAGTCATCGTCCACTCACCCATTGTTGATACACCTTGTAATAATATAGCTGCATATATATTTATTAGTCACAGAGAGCAAATGCATTTAAAAAAACTTATTGGCTCTATGCGAAACCCAATAAAAATTTTTGGCAGTTAATGTGTTAACATAAAATAGATCTTAAAATGAAAATCCAAATATATCTAAAATAAATTTTTTGGATGTCACATAACCTAGTGTGTAAAGTTCTAATATACTCTATGGTGGATGTCAGATAGTCGGGTGAGTAAGTTATAATATACTGAATGTTGGATGTCAGACAGTCGAGTGAGTAAATTCTAATATACTTAATGGTGGATGCCAGAGAGTCGAGGGACTGAAATATTTAATATACAAAATATACAAAACCAACTGACGCGAGCGCCACCTTCGCATCTATACACTGGAACTAAATATATACATAAAATTGAAAATTAAGCATTATGACATCCAGCTGAAATTTGTTTGGCGCTCTTTTAAACCTCTTTTATGATGTTTGAACCCCAAAAACGTTGTGACATCCGAATTTGGATGTCACATCGCAAACGGATGTCATAAAGATACCAACATTTTTGCGACATGATGTCACAACGTCGGCAGGACGAATCTATATATATATATATATATATATATATATATATATATATATATATATATATATATATATATTGTTATGATATGTATGTATAATTTAATTATTTTTAAGAAAATATTTTTTTTTTTTTTTTTTTTTTTCTTAGTGTAGAAAATAATACCTTTCAGCTAGCTCATAAAATAAATTTATATTAGACGCCAATGACAATATTATTAATGTTATATAATAAGCACTTCAGAAACTTACCTATATAGGCCTATAACATTCCTTTTTAATTAAATTTGCACGAGACTCAGTTATTTGTTTAATATGTTATTACCTTTCATAAAATATTTATAGTTCTCAGGGATTTATAGTGGTTTCAAGAAGCAAATAAGAGATTGTCCCAATCTCCCCTATCAAATTTTGCGAAACTGCAATGATCTTCAAAATTAATCAATCAGTTATGCAACCAACAATACACATTTATTTGAAAAGAAAAACCAAAGACAATACAGTTAAATAGACAATTAGGTTAGTCAAATATCAACTCATTCATTCGTTCTATTATACTTGATTAACGTAAGAACTTAAATTTAAATTATTACACAAAACCAGTTCATTCTCTACACAACTTGTTGTTCATATGGCCCGTAGTTATATGAGACCTGAATTGGTAACAATGTCCTTGAATATTTCTATTCGTGTTTAAGAAATATAACCTGAAACTACAATGATTGGTATATTGAATGAAGTTGTCTTGTATTAAAACTTTATATGTTCAAAAGGTAAGAAATATCAATTTAAATATAATTATACAGTCAATACCTTTAAGCATAATCACTGAGATTGTCCTTCTTGTCCTTTTTTTCTTTGCAGGCCAATCACTAGCAGTAGGAATGCTGTATTCCCAGCCGTGGCAAAGTTCTTCTCCAATAAAAACAAAGTCAATTTACCATCATCTGCTAAGATGCGGGATCTTTTATATGTGGTAAATAAAAAACTGTCCTGTGACGCACTAAGCCGGCACAACGCACTTTTGAGGTGAGTAAATAAATACCTTGCTCTGACTATTTGTCAATTACAAATAAAATTTACAACTAGGTTTCTTTAATTTCTTGATAACTGATCGATTGATTCTTTTCTTTTATCATTTTACGGGATTCAAAAATTTTTCATACATTTCATCTTTTATCAATTTTCTACCACCAATTTTTTTTTAATCAACAACCCCTTAGTTACCAATTTTCATCAAGTAATAACTTTTTAAATTTAACCAATTAAAACGATTTGCTTCTAGTGATCTATTATTTATTTGATTTACTATATTAACTAAAAGACTTTATTTAAAATATCACTGTCCGATTATTTTTGTGAAATTATTTCATACTATTGTTATTATAATTTCTTTATTCTGGTTGTCAATTTTTATTAATTTAGAAAAATCTTCTCATATAAAATCATGTTGGCAACAATTTTACCAATTTTTTGAAAATTGTCAAGTTTGTCAAACTTTCTTGATAAACTTGCTGTACAGGGTGATAATATAATTATTCGAGAAAAATTTTTTTCTTATTTTGATTAAAATTTATTTTATTTTATTTTTAATGATTGTTATTTTATTTTAGGTAATGACACATAGATTTTCATGGAATCATATAAGTACAAGGCTTTATAAATTATAGAAACGAGTATTCTTTTAATCGCTCCATGAAAAATTAAGTTTCTGATGGCTTTAATGCATTCTTACTGAAGGTAAATTTTTAATTTATGTTATTTTATCTAGCTAAGCATATCCTTTTCTACATGATATTTTATTACATTACAATATATATATATATATATATATATATATATATATATATATATATATATATATATATATATATATATTATTTTTATATAGGGGAAAAACTAAGGACGGGAGAAACTGTTGTATACTATATTTCTTGTTGCGGCCTACACGTTATATACTATGTACCTGGCTTTGACAATCAATGTCATTACGACTAAAAAGTAAATAACGTAAAGTCAAAAAAGTTTAATTTCAACATAATACGAATGCTATTAGAAATAGTAATAAATTACGTGAGAATATTCATATATTATGCAAGATGTCCAATTAGTGCCTAATTGCTCGACAAATCAATGTGTTATAGATACACAAACAAGTTTTGGAATTAAAAGTTATATGGATTTGAACAAGATATATTTTAAAAATACTTTAGAATATACAAAGTGTTATTTTTTTCTGCTAAATAAAAATGTTGCGCCCCTTTAAATGTATCACCGCAAGACTGGCTACGCCACTAGCAGTAATATACATCCTAAGTAAATAAAATTTATGCCATATTTAGCCACTGCTTAATAGCATTAATGTGAAATGATCTTGCCCCTAAGACGTAATTATTATCAACAACATCAGAGTTTCTCAAATCTATGTGCTGTGGAGCATCAGAAATATTAAACGCCCAGACTGTGGCAGACATATTACCAGTAACGCCGCCACATGAATATGGATCCATTATACCATTACTGAAAACCATATTCGAATAGTATCTCAAATTTTTTCCTCCATAAGCTATTCGACCCCAATCAGGAGGTAATGTCCTAACACCGAACTTCTTATAACATTCCATAGCGTATTTTTCGAAATCCCAAGGTTTGGTTATGAACATGTCAGCATCAGTTGAACATTTAGGCTGTATGAGTTCTGTGCATTGTTGGTACTCATAAGCAAATTCGGTGTAATCATCGTATGTACTATTTATATTGTTACATACTCGCTTTCCGGTGTAATTGGTATATATCTCTAAGGCATGACTAAAATGCTCTATTAAACCTTTCGTATCGTTAAAGTATGAAGTGGTTAGTTTGTCGCAAAATGCCTTCACTGGATAAGCTGGTAAAGGTGTGTAAAAATCTGTTGGATAATGGTAGTTTGCCAATGCCATATTAACGTATACTTTGCTCAACCAATTCAATAATGTTTCGATATCTTCAGCACCCTTTAGTCTTCCACATAGTTTCCATGTAGTAGATATAAAGTCCATTCCTAAAAAATAAAAAATTCATGCTATTTTTTATATTGTTTGTTTATCTTAAAACCAAGTGCGGGATAGAATAAACAGGGTATAGGTACTAGTTAAAGATTTCACATATTCAATTCTCAACAAAATGTAACCAATGCTAACATTTTTGTAGTAACGTTATCTAAATAAGGGCAGATATTAGAAATTCTTGTTACAAAAGTGAATATATTGTGATGTTTGTTTACTTTCAAACAACAGTTTATTTATTAATAATTTATTTAAACACTTATATTATAACACAACTATTCTAATTTATATATACTTCGAATGTCTAAACTGATCACTATTTATATTCACCACTGTCTATCTACTAATTACTATTTATCTTCATTGTCCATATAACTACTGACTCTGATGGCTCATCCACCAATATTTATATACAAATTTCTAAAATTTGGTGGAGTCGAGAAGCTTCTCCACCAAACTAGAAATATTTCGAACAGTCCAGAAATATTATCTCGTCCTTTCTCGAACATCATCGAAAACACCTCCGCCATAGTCGTCCTATAGGTTTGGTCTTAAAGGGTTTAATTATGAATAATAATCGGACAAGTTGAGCCTTAAAGGCCAAATAAGACAGAGAGGAACTTGTAGGGTTAGAGCATGACTGAATAATGAAATGGCTCACATAACATTGCCCCCTCCTTAAGAGATAGTTCCTTCTGGAACTCTTACGAAACTAAACTGGAATGGTTGTATTTGCAACTGAATCCTCTTTTACAATTTCCAGTTGCATGGAAGTAACAAGGGACGGTCTTCGCTTTAACCTGGGCACTGGGCGAATGGCTGCAGACCAGTATCTGAACTCCGGTATCTTGAAAGATGACTTCCACCATGTTCCTAATGATCCTCCAATTCACTTGATTTCCTTCTATCTTTGGCATGGCTAGTTTCTGTACATTGGACTCCCGCACGTGCTCCCTTAGACTAAGTAATGCTTCCCATACATCCTGATAGGTGGATCAATCTTGGAAAGTGTTCTTCGTTATTAAATGAAGTTTCAAGGCTTTTCCAGGGGCTGGTAACTGACATTGAAGTTCTACCAGTCGACCAAACTTCTTACGGAACACATATGCCAGTCCTTGCGCGTCGTTGATGCTGGCGGAAGTACTATGGACCAGCGAGTAGTCTTTCGGAAGCGAGAGCAGATCTTGTTGTTGCTCGGTCGTAACACCATATCTGGCTTTTCCAGTACCTCCATATGTACCCATAAATTCTTCAAAGACAAGGTCTAGTGTTTCTTGAAGTTGGTTTACTTCTTCTTCATGGTCACCCTCAAATGGCGCCAGCCTGTTTTGGTGCACTACCTTTTGTTTACCGTTTGGAATCTTACATATTCGGTAAATTACATCATTTATTTTATTCTTGATGAGGTACGGACCTTCCCAAGACCTTTGAAGCTTCGGAGAATAACCCTTTTGTCTTTTTGTGGTATGGAGCCAGACTTTGTCGCCTTCTTTAAAACATCCTTCTGTTGCTTGGGTATCGTATCGCTTCTTTATTCTGTCGCTGGCGATTTGAAGATGGGAGCGAACTAATTCATGCATGTCGTCCATTCTTCTTCGTAACTGGATCACATAATCTTCACCAGCTACATCTTCTCCAGGTCGGCTTTCAAACTCGAGGTCGCACGGTAGTCTCATCTCACGCCCAAATAAGACTTTTGCTGGTGTTTGGCCTGTTGATTCATTGACAGCGGATCTATAAGCCATTACAAAAAGCGAAAGATACTGATCCCAATCTCGCTGATGGTTTGAAACCACTTTTGACAGATATTTGCCAATGGTCTTATTCATTCGCTCTACCATTCCATTGGATTGTGGGTGCAATGTTGTGGTTCTGGTTTTCTTCATGCCTAGTCTGTCACAGATTCCACGGAAAATTTGACTTTTAAAATTTCTGCCTTGGTCACTGTGGATATCCAAGGGCACTCCAATTCGACAAATACACTCCTTTATCAATACATCTGCAACAGTTGCGGCCTCTTGATTTGGAATGGCATAGACTTCCACCCACTTTGTAAAATAATCCATAACCACCAAAATGTATTTATTACCATCCTCGGTCGCGGGGAATGGTCCAGCAATATCTAAGGCGATCCTATCAAATGGGCTACCAACGTTGTATTGCTTCATGGGTGCCTTCCTTTTTCGTTGAGGTCCATTACTCGTAGCACAGGTGGTACATTTCTTACACCAGTCCTTCACATCATCGGAACTGTTCATCCAGTAACACCTTTCCCGAACTCTCTGAAGGATTTTCCTAACACCTAATGGACTGTCGTGTAACTGACGAAGTACTTCAGCTACTCTACTTTTTGGAATGGCCAACTGTCTTCTGTTCTCGGAACTATCATCATTTTCAAGTACTTGCTTTAATAAGCCATTTTCCAGGATAAAAGGTTCCACTGAGCCAAATACGACTTAAGTACTGGAGAGAACTTAGATACTTCTTGCCAAGTAGGTCGATGTTTTTCCTCTTTACATTGGCATCTTCTTCAAAACGGTATCATTCTCTTGTTCTTCCCTAATTTTGACAGGGGCTCACTCATCGCTGACTACCGACGTTCTTCGTACTGTAACTTCTTGAACAGATGTGACCAACTCCTTTCCAATCAGAGGTCCTTGACCAACACCTTTATTGCGGTTCGAAGGTTCCGCCATAATAGGCGTTGCCTTCTCTACAGTTTCTTGCATCCGCCTTACTCGTATGGTTTCACTACTTTCAGGTAACACCGTTCCTTCCTGTACAACCACCGGCACGGTTTTTCGATTCGTAGTGTTCTTTGGACGTTTGCGCGAACTGCTTACTTTTCCCATTTCACCGCAATTCCAGTACATAATAGTCTTTGGTTGCTTCTCAATAAGGCTTTTTACCATGTGAAACAATTATTTCAATTTACTTCCCTGTTCTTCTTGTACAGTCCTTCACTGTATTCACCAGAAGCCAGCGTAGCCGCTTCATATTCGAGAGCAGCGGACAAGACATCGACCAATGTTTTGTGACGAGCTAAACGAAGTGTCCTTTGCATTTCATTGTCACGAAGTCCATCTACAAATGCTTGAACAGCCAAACATTCAATCATGTATTCCGGAGCTGATGGGTAGGCAAATCGCACCATCTTCGCAATATCTAATTCGAATTCTTGAAGGCTCTCGTCATGTTTCTGTTTGCGATTCTTTAACTGTAATCGGTACACCTGCTACAAATGTTCGTGGCTATATCGCATGTTGAATCTCTTTTTGAGTTGTTCAAAATCATCTGTCTCTTCCACGGGTATAGTCTGAAGGACATCCAAAGCGTCTTCTCGAAGGGCGATGGTCAACTTTATTGCCTTCTCTCGTTCAGACCACTCGTTTGCTCTGGCAGCTGTTTCGAACTGCTTAAGGTAGTTCTTCCAAGATATCTTTCCGTCGAAAGTTGGGGCTTTAACACGAGGAGGGTTTACAGCTCCTTCCAATTTCAACTTCGACTCCACCTCATGGCACTTAATTTCAACGTCCTTGGCCGGGTCTGAATGTTCCAGTTCTTTTATCTTCTTTTCCATTTCTTTTATTTTCTCCTCAACGGAACACATTATTTTATTCTCAACGGAAGAAATCTTATCATCCATATAAGAAATTTCGTTTTTCATAGAAAACATTTCGGAAGACACTTTTTCTTCTAAAGAAGAAATATTAGACGAAAATTTATTTTCCATAGAAGACATTTTGGTTTCCAAGTCGGAAGAAATTTCGGTTTTTAAAGAAGTTAAGTCAAAAGACACCTTTTCTTCTAAGGAAGAAATATCTGAAGAAACTTTACTTTCTAAAGAAGAAACTTTACTATCTAATGAGGAAATGTTAGAAGAAATATCGGTTTTCATAGAGGTCATATCAGACGAAACTTTGGTTTCTATTCTAAAGAGGAAATTTCATTTTTCACGGATGATATTTCAGTTTTCATATCAGAGGAAATTGAAGAAATTATAGAAGAGGCGTCATCCAAAAATAGATACGTTTCCGAATCCAAACCTTCACTTTCTAGTGCTTCTTTAAGCCGTTCCGCCAGTTCTGCCTTCATTTCTATCGTCTCCAACTCACGACCTTCTAACTCCCGACGTAGCTCGGTAACTTTTAATTCACACAGTCTTTTAGCCATTATTGTTCTCTATTTATTTACACTATCCCACTTCTGACACCAATGTGATGTTTGTTTACTTTCGAACAATAGTTTATTTATTAATAATTTATTTAAACACTTATTTTATAACACAACTATTTAAATTTATATATACTTCGAATGTCTAAACTGATCACTATTTATATTCACCACTGTCTATCTACTAATTACTATTTATCTTCATTGTCCATATAACTACTGACTCTGATGGCTCATCCACCAATATTTATATACAAATTTCTAAAATTTGGTGGAGTCGAGAAGCTACTCCACCAAACTAGAAATATTTAGAACAGTCCAGAAATATTATCTCGTCCTTTCTCGAACATCATCGAAATCACCTCCGCCATAGTCGTCCCATAGGTTTGGTCTTAAGGGTTTTAATTATAATAATTTAATAATAATCGGACAAGTTGAGCCTTAAAGGCCAAATAAGACAGAGAGGAACTTGTAGGGTTAGAGCATGACTGAATAATGAAATGGCTCACATAACAATATTGATAAAAATTTTAAGACTTTTTGTCTATACCCTGTATTATGCGTTTAGTTGGATTTTAACAACTTGTCAGAACGAAGGAATAATTGACATTGATTTTTATATAATAAAATTGTTCATTTGCACCCAGTATTTTAACTTCCTTTTCAACCAGCGCATTTTATAGAGTCTTTCACAGACAGTTGGCTCTTGAGATGGCAGACCGCCACAATATGCGAATATTTAAGTGTTTGAATCTATATGAAACATTAATGAGTTTTCTTTATAAAATATGGTCCAAAAATACGGATAGGTAAAATATTATTTAAGGAAAATATTTCGAAACGACTTTAGATATTTCAGTAATTTTAGTGTCAATTAATAAAGGGCAACTAAATTTATTGCAAAATTATGTTTTTCAATATGACCTTAATTTTCTCGGGCACAATGGTTTTTATTATTTTGTTTTACTCAAAAACGGCGCATCGTAGGAAAACAACTAAGGAGAGCTCTTATATTCCAAACTGAACGGGAAATTAAAAAATGTTTATTTGAAAAAAAAAAAAGAAAACAATAGGCATACCATTTTTTTTAATATCGAAGTCAGTGCCTGTACGCACGCCACTGTTAAAGCTGAAAATTACACTGGCCGACACAATTTTTGTTCAGTCCATTATTTTCACACTGTTAATACTTTCCTAATAGAAAATCAATGTCAATAATTCCTTCGTTCTGACAAGTTGTAAAAATCCAACTAAACGCATAATACAGGTATAGACAAAAATACTTAACATTATAAATAAAATAAATAATTAAATCAACATCAACAAGACTCGTTTCTGTTATTCCATTAGCAGTGGCGTGCGGTGACATTTTTGAAAGGGGAAGCGATTGTATAAAAATACAGCAGGCTAGTAAGCACAGCGCCGCAGGTGAAAATTTTTCGCGGCGCATTCACCATTTTTTTTTAAATCTTGTTATTTTCCTCAGTACTACGGATATTTGAGATTGAGATTTTTGAAGTGTTACTATTACTTTATTACATAGTTTAGTACTAGAAGCTATAAAAAAACTTGACTATTGAAAAGCTTCCTTGGTTTATTTAAACGTAAGAAAACATTTAACTGAAGTTTTTTTTTTATTTTCTCCAACATTTTTTGCACAGTTGTCACAGCAGTTGACATTTATTTATACTTAAGACATATTCGCCTATCCTTAATGGCTGCAAATTTGTCTATAACATCGTCGTAAAATTTTGTATTTTCTGTTTAACAAGCTGTTTTTCAATGGATATTAGGGCTAAATAAAAGAGTCTGTCTTTACTTGTTGAATTTCATATAAAACTTTTAATGCGCTTTAAAGCTGAAAAACTTTGCTCAACTGACGCACTAGTGGCTGGGATGGTTAGTACTATTTCACACAATTTGACGACTTCACAAAGGGACTTATTTAAACCAGTTGTTATAAGACAATTTAACATATTGATGGGCGACTTTGTATCACTAGTTTCAGTCGTTTCATAAACAACACTTAACTGGGACTTTATTGCTGGAATATCGAAAAAATTTCCATAATTTAGTTTAAGTGAATTAAAAGCTTCCGATGGAAATTTTGATGAATCGTAGTTACTAATATTAAAAATGCACAATTCAACAAATTTTAATTCGTTAAAGTTTTGAAATCGAGATTTCATTTGTTGTAAAATATTATCAAAAATTTCGGCGTATAATCGACGATAGGAGGTCTCTCTGTCGCCAACATTATCAATTCTTATTCTTTTTCTTTCATGTTCTAAGCCAATGTTTTGAGTCTTATTCCAAAAGTGTTCAAACTGATCTCGTTTTTTATTTATTTCATTTTTAAAAGCATCAATTTGTTTAATGCAAAAGCCAATGTCATTTGATTTTATCTGTAAAATGTCGAATAAATTGTTAATAAATCTCTGCTAAAATGTTGAGCAAAAAATTGAAATCAAAGTTTTGTTTGAGCCAATGCAAATACCCTTTAGCAGCAGTAACAGTTTCAGCATCCCATGTTTCTTTATTATCCCAAACGTCTTAAATCACGGTATTGAAACATTGTTTGCACCAAACGTCCATTGTAGTTCCATCGCATCGGAGCAACTTTTGGAAACTTTGAACGTGAATGTCCAAAGCGCGAATTCTTTTCGATGACTTTAAAAAGGAGGAAGCCAAACCACTAAGCGTCGAAAAGAAAACTTTGCAATCTTTAATATTATCCATGCTTTGCGATAAAACCAAATTAAGTCTATGTGCTATACAGTAAACAAAAATTGCATGTTTAAACTTCTCTTTCACTTTAGCTTAAAGGCCTCCTAAATGACCAGCCATTACGGCAGCACCATCGTAGCTCTGGGAAACAAGCTTAGAACTACATTCTAAACTTGAAATAATGTCACAAACAATTCTGTGGCCGGCGCTTAAAAGGTCATAAGTCGTTTTTTACGTAAATGAAGTTTTTATTAAAGATACGTTTAGAGGAGTGTATATTTTAGACAGTTAAAAGGATCTAAGTCTATATACGCTGTAAAGTAATAAAAATAAGAAACAAAAAAACATATAATAATACAAGGGTAACTGCGAAAGGCAAAACCTCATAATTAAACATAAACAGTCAAATTTTGAAACAAAATAGTTAAAACAAAATATTTCTACATATTTTTTAATTTTTACAGGACCAAATGTCCTAGAAAGATCATACATTTGGATTCTAAAAAGCCTTATTCACATGTACCAAAATTTTCCAGCGCCATTCTCCGAAAATGTGTAATATCCGACTTATTACCTTTTAAGCGCCGACCACAGAATTTTAAACAATGCATCTGCAGTTCGTTCGCTACTGACGTCCAAAAATCCTAAGAATCGCTCTTGAGTAATGCCATCCAATACATATCGCACAACAATGGATAATTGACGTAAGTTTCTTATATCTGTGGTTTCATCAAGCGCAATTGATACGAAAGGTGCTTATTTAATTTCCCTTTTAATGTGATCCATCACAACGTCGGCAGTGCATTTAATTAAATCATTTTGGATTCTGTTTGAGATACCTCCGAAAGTCCTCGAATGAATAAAATGATTTTTTAGTGTATCATCGTATTTTGCCAAAAAACTTCGAAGGTCCATGTAATTTCATCGATTGGCGGATCCACTTGCTTTATTGTGATACCTAAAACTTAGTTCATGTTCTCCCAGAAAACAAGTTTCATCTATTAATCGTTGTAAGACGTCCCTATTTTTTTACGATACGACAGGTCCTGAATGTTTGTTCTTTAATTGTAGCACTTATATGAGATTTACTATTTACATGTCGTTTTACACTTTTGTAAAAATTATTCAAGTCTGTAATACCGAGTGAGTCCCAATTTTTTTTCTGCTATACTAAAAAGTAGGCAAGGCCAGCAAAACAATTTCTTCAAAGTTTTGCAGCTGTTTAACCATTCATACCTTTCATAGAACCCTACGTGTAAATGCCTGGTAATTTTCTTTGCTAACTTTTCTATTTTCGTCTCTAAATTGATAGGATCCTTTAGTCTACTAGAATTAATAATGTTTGTTTTCTCTTCAAAATTTCTACTTAAAAATCATTTTTTCAATAAAGAGCACACAATACAGACACAATTTACAACATTATTATTGTTCACAGACACAGTGCATAGTTCCTCCATTTTATAAAAAGAAAAATAACTACGAAAAACAAACCGAAATCTATCTGAAGTCTACGAATTGCAATATGCGTAAGGCGACGTAAAAATCGCTGCCTCCCGACCGTATTTCACGTGCCCAAACAGACTGACTACTGTCGCGGCAAACCAAGGTCAATAACACGAAACGAAAACAATTGAAAGATGAACCGGCTTTTTTAAGAGACGCTTCCACAATTAATGTTCTCATGGGTGGTGTGTGCGTTTACACATTACACCAATGAATTGTTAGTACATTTACGAAGTTTGCGTAATGTTTAAGAGAAAATAACGTACCTAATTTAATATTAATTTCTATGCATTGTAATCTGAAAAATATTTATTTTTAAATTTTAAAGTGTAGGGAAGCGGTGCTTCCCCCGCTTCCATGAACCACACGCCCCTGTTCACTATGTAGTTTCCTAGTTCAACCACTAAAAGTTAAAAATAACGACAGCTTGTTATTTTAAGCTGTTATTTAAAAATAACAGTAACAGTTGTTACTGTTAAATGAAAATAACGCTTTTTCCCATGATATAGCTGGTGATGTGCTTTATCAACCTAACCGAGGCAGGCGTTCTTATCGCAGTTGCATTATTAGATATTTGGGTTGTAATTTTCGCTGCCTGTTACTTTCGACTTCGGTCTACCCTGCTTTTTATTTTAAATTTTAATATCAATTTTTTTTTGAAATTTTAACTCATGTCACTCCTAATCTTTGTTACATTTTTAATGTTTTTGAGTAATACAATTATCAACATTAAAAATATATAAATAATGACTTAAAAGATATTATTACCTAATTTTGTTTTCGATAAATTGATGATGACATCCCACCCTAGTTTAATGGTCTTGACGCATTGATCGTGTCCAAATTTCTCAAAAACTTGTGTAACTTTATCATAAAATAAGTCGCAGTTTGTCATTCCAGGAAAGTAGAACATTGGAGCCGAAGATGAAATAGCTCCTACAACTAAATAAGGATATTTCATTCTTAACCAGGCGGACAACATTCCTCCGTATGATCCTCCAAAAGCAACGATTGGATGAGTATCATGGGTCATAACATTTTCATAGAAGCTCCTTGTTAAATAGTCTATGACGTATGCGTAATCTGCAAGTGCTTGGGTAGAAGTTAAATGCCTGCAAAAAAATTTATAAAATACTTTAGGAACTATCAATACTGAAGTCTTTATTAAATTTTGTTTTATATAGTTTTTAAACATTTAATTTGATATAATATTTATACATAAAATTTTCATGTGAATCATTCGATAACATTTTCAGCGATTTTAATTAGTAAGTTTTTATTAGTAAAGTTTAATTAGCAAATTTTATAAAATATTACATAATTAGTCGATAGGTACACTAAGAGATAACGAGGAGATGTTACTACTAACAAATATTGTGCGGCCTTGAATAAGATATATTTTAATATCATATGCCTATTTCATTATTTTCGTTTTGTTTATAAAATTATTTACATGTATTAAAAAGCTACAATAATTTAACCTATTTTATTGCAACTGAACCCAAAAATTTTTGAATCATTAGTTATATTTAATTTAAATAAATTAGATTTAATTTCACTAAATTACAGTTCATCAAATTTCTAAAGGCTTTCGACGGCTAGACAGAGAAAGCACTACTGACAGGCATCCCGACAGATTTACGCAATGAAAGTACACTCTGCGCATCAAGTATTTTACTATTTCATTCAGACGTAAATGTCAGATGTAAATTTCGCTAAAACATTTCTTTTATTTTCGTTTGTGTTTTTTGCTCATTACAGTTTAATAGAACCTAAGTATGGAGTTTAATAGCAAATTAAGAGGCCGCGTGATTAACAGTCAATCTCGCGAAATAATAGCCAATATTATAGAGTTTATGAGAAGAGAAGGAAACTTTAATTCACCTTCAATACCATTTAAACATGTAAATGATCGTGTTGCTGCAGCCACAGGAGTATCTAAAAACACTGTCGTCCGCATTTCTGGAGAGAAAAAAAGAATCGATAACCGTGAGATATCGGAATTTTCATCACCAAGAAAAACCATTAAAAAACCAAAATCAATAGTTAATGATATAGATGAAGCTGCACAAGAATCAAATTTTATTTTTTTATTATTAGATAGCCATTTTTGTTTCTGAGTTGTGTTCATTTACAGGCTCAATTTTTTTCCGTTTCTCCTTTTTGATTTTATATGGGGTTTCAAGTTGTTTTTGACTTATTTCGACGTAAATCACAACAACACACTTTTTTAATAAAGCAAACAAGTGTTAAGAGGTATATGTACGTGTAAACTACAATTACAAAAAATTGATATGAAACCCATGAAACCACCAACAAAAATGTAAAGCAAGCTTCCGTACTAGAACATGGTGTCATTCGTCGAGATAATTAATTTATCGTTTTGTTTAATAGATCAAGAAATGTAAATATTCCCCTGTTATTTTTTATAAAATTATAAGAGAAATAAATTTTTTTCTAAATAGTATAGTTTATTATTTTGTAGAAAAACAAAATTTCGAAAATTTTAGTAATGTTTCAGAAACAACCGTTATTAATAATAGGTACCATTTTCCTTAATAAGGTAGAAATAAAATATAAACTATTTCCACGATTTACAAAGGCCTACAAAAAAATTATAGGTATTTTCCGTTATCCTATAAAATTTATATTTTCTGACTCAATTTCAAAAGGTTGAAGGAATTCCAAAACACCATTTATGGCATAATAATTATTTTCAATTCTACATACTATCTTTAGCTGCTTTTAAAAACGTTCTAAGAAAGTCCAATCAGACCAATTTAATCCCTAAACTATTCCACACTTTTAAAATTTAATTACCTAAAAATATTAAAAACTATTTAAAATAACTTGTTTAGCAGACTGTACAATAGCTATCTTAGTCACACGTAGCGCGTTCTCTGTCTGGGCGTCGAACACCTCTAGAAATTTGATGAACTGTAGATGTAATAATTTTCAATAAATTCCAAAACCCGGTCATGTTAGGTGGGAAGCAAAGATATCGGATAATAGATACGCCTTGTATACATTACACTTGTCCGCAACTTTTTTTTGACGGTACGCTCTTCCTATGTTGTCAGATCTCTTTCATCAAATATCAAACATTAAATTTTTATTAAAAAAGTTACTATTACCTTTAATACAATCTAATAAAAAAATGAAATAAAGAATTGAAAGCATCAATATGAGTTTTTTATTAATTGCGATTACTTGAGACTTTTAATTAGCTATTTTTACATGTGTATCATATGGGTATTTTTAACATTTTGGTATAAATCCTTTAACTTTGGCAACCTAAGACATTTTACTGATGTTGTCAAATTGACAGATCAAGTTTTGTTGTGATTTTTGTGGTTTTTTGTAGTTTTCAAGAATAATTTAAACCCTGAACTTTTTAATAAGGACTTTTACGATGGGGAGGAAATGTATAGTGTGCCGAAATACGCAGAATAAGAATGTTATTCGGTCATTTCATAAATAAGATTATGCTAGCATAGACGTAGGCATATACAGGGAATAAGGCTTAATTTATTTAACAGTGTAAAGGCATTTAGCATCAGCATTGTTTATTTAAATAATAATGTTCTATATTTTCTGATCAGGTTTCCTAAAGAAATTATTCAACGTAGAATTTGGCTGCAAAATCTATGCCTGGTGATGAAGGAAGACATTATGAAAATGAAAGAAGCCTTAGTATGTTCTGACCATTTTTGTATGGCAGATATTTATGAAAATTTAAGTGGTAGACACATCTTAAAACATAATGCTATACCTATCAAATAAGTACAGTATTTATTATGGGTATTTTTATAATATGTAAGCTCTAAAATTATACACTAATCATCACAATTTACAGAATTTTGGCAGAGGTAGTTGAAGAGGCGAAAAATGAAGAAGAAAAAAATACTTTTTTTAGTGCAGTTCGTAACAGATGTGACTTCAATAACTATCTCACAAGCAGATTGTTTCAAAATTGTTATAAAAAATTATTAATTGATAATGAAGTAAAGTCAAATAGAACTACCAATGCAATTGCTTTAGATGGCACCAGCATCTTGGATTGTAGCAACACTAGTAGCAAAATTGCGTTAAATTTAAAATGTTACGAATCAGATACTGAAGAAAATTTGGGATTTACAAAAGAGCTTCGTGACCATGATTACCTATCTATATATTTTCTGATCGAACACATTCAGGATGTAGTTGCTTATATTTCTGGTTTTATAGTAAAATCCTTAAATAAAAAGATTCACTGCAAACAGTGTTCTGCAATTGAACCAGTGAGTTCGAAAACCGTTCTTGTCTCAAATTTTACATTTCAAAATAAGATAGCCATTTCGTTTACAATTTGTCTCCTCATCGATTGAGCTTAAAAACCGTACTAGATACCTAGCTTTTAACGTAGTACAGCTGATTATACCCGTGAAATTAGGTGAAAAACCGTACATATTTGCGACTCGTACGGTTTTTCATCTCAATAACAAAATAATGGTCAGTTGCTATGGTCAGTTGGGAAAACACAAATACTGAAAATAATGATTACATAACTGAGATAACAGTTTTGATATTGTAATTTTCCTAGTTTTTGAATAAATATAAAATAAATCAAAAAATGTTCACCTTTTTCTTTTTATATACAGGGTTGAGTTCAAAAGCCGTACAAGTTCATACTTCATTTGTATCTGTCATTGCTAGTCCATTAAAAATACATTGCAAATCAAGAGATCTAAAATTTATCTATGCATAAAGAAAGTCTATGTCAAGTAGTTTCGACGTTGAAAGGTTTTTATTGTTTTTCTCGAAAGGCAGATTTTGGACATGTACACACCGATTCAATTTTAGAAGGAAATTAGTTTATCAAAACTGCAAAATCGAAAACTTATGGAAAATTACAAAAAGCTTCTAGATTTGTAGTTACTGTTTGTAGTGAAGCTGAAAAATGTATAAAAACAGTTTCAATGAACATACACAGTAATAATATTATTAACATTGCCAATATAAAATGTAAATTAGTAAATAGTTCTATGATATATTTGCCTTCAAATATTTTTGATGTTTTTTGTAACCATATTTTTGATTTTGAACCACTTAATGGCCATTGCATTACTGTCTTGAAGCTCATTTTAGATAAATATATAGACATTCGAGTTCATCATGAATTTAATAAGTTAAAAACTGTTAATAAAGCCAGGGTGAGAAGTTTACTTACAAAAAGTAGGTATTTTATTTCAGAATCAGTAATTTTTAATTTTAATTATTTGTTTTTATAATTTTTTGTCTATTTTTAAGTTCCCATAACATGCTCTTATTCTTGTTCTTTATGTGAAATATTTTAATATACGTCCATCTACATCTGCATATTGTGTCCAGACGATACTAATTTTATCATTGAAGACATAATAGTTTATAGTAACTGCATTGAACAAAAGTAAAGAGATAGTCAAAAGATTCACAGGTTATTGTTCGGACAATATCCTAGTTATATAAATCCCTCAAAAAAATTTTTTTTCTACGAACTCTTACAAAAAGACATCTTTCGCCACAGGATACTTTCAGCGAAAACTTGATTTCCGTCACTAGTGAGAAAAAATCCCATAACGTTTACTTTCGTCTCTAGTGACGAAAGTAAGTTGTTATATATTTTCATATATCAGTCGCCTCGTATAATATTTTGGCAGCTTATAATTATTAATGATGAAATAAAAAGATGCTCATTAAATTCTATATGCGTTTTTACCTAAACTTTAATAAATTAAAAATAAAATAAAAATGTATAAAAATAGTGCAAATTAAACCAATCTACATCTAGTTTCCTTGTTTTCATTTGTTTATTTGAAGTTTTATCACTTTTGAGAACTGTCAGTTTCAAGTTCGTCCCAAATTTAACACATTTTCATGATGTCTGAGTCAGAAAGCGATTGTACTCCCCCAGAAATTATTTTTAAAGCTGAAGAAACCTCTTCAGATTTATTACCGGCCAAATCAAAAAAGAGATATGAAGAAATTTATATAAAATTTTTGGACTGGAGAGAAAAAAATAAAGTGAAATTATTTTCGGAAACTGTACTACTAGCATACTTTGGAGAAATATGTTCAAATTTTAAACCGTCGA